AAAAAAAAAAAAAAAAAAAAAAAAAAAAAAAAAAAAAAAAAAAAAAAAAAAAAAAAAAAATACAAACCCTAAACCCTAAACCCTAAACCCTAATTTATTATATTTTATATTTTATTAACCGGATATATACACAACAGGAAAAGGAGGAAAAGGAAGAGGAGTTATAGGGAGGTAGGAGACGCAGGACAAGAGCGAGAAGATACAGCAGAAGAAACAATACAAACAGCATAAGCAACAACAACAACAGACGCAGCAACCAGCAGCAGCAGCAGCAGCAGCAGCAAAGTTAGTCATACAAGCATTTCTGGTATAAAGTTTTGCATGTGTTTCTCCCATTCCTCCATTAAACTCGCAGTTTGATGCTCAGAATTATCCGCAACCTATAACACAAACCCTAAACCCTAAACCCTAAACCCTAAAACCCTAAACCCTAAAACCCTAAACCCTAAACCCTAAAACCCTATACCCTAAGAAAGATCCAAGACCCTACATTCCCCTTATAAACACTGCTGGTGCTACTATTACTGCTAGTAGTAGTACTATTACTGCTGTTACAGTTGCTGCTGTTGTTGCTGTTGCAACAGCAGCAGCAGCAGCAGCAGATTGCGGTGTACGTACAGCTCCTTCTTCTGTACGTCTAGGTTGATATTCAGGTGTCATGTCATCTTGTACACCTAAAGGAACATCGCCATAAGGAATTGGATTATCATTACTTTTTTTATTTTGTTGTCTTTTTTCTTTTTGCTGCTTCTTATCCTTCTTGCTGCTGCTGCTGCTGCTGGCTGCTGCGCCTTGAGGTTCCGCACGAGTAGGCTGCTGACGCTCCTGGGTTGGCTGCTGACGCTTGGTCGAGGCCTGCTGCTGCTGCTGCTGCTGCTGAGGGGGAGGAGGAGGAGCTGCTCTCCCTGCCTGCTGCTGAGGAGGAGGGGGTTGGTATTGCTGCTGTGGTGGAGGGGGAGGAGGCTGGTAGTATTGCTGCTGCTGTGTTGGCTGCTGCTGCTGCTGCTGCTGCGCTGCAGCAGGAGGAGGAGGGGGGACAGGCTGGCCATAAGGAGGAGTCTGATAGACTGGTGGCTGCTGCTGATAGGTAGGGGGAGAGTAGGTGTGCTGGGCCTGGTATCCAGCAGCATGCTGCTGGTAGGTTGGTGGCGGCTGCTGCTGCTGCTGCTGCTGCTGTGGCTGCTGCTGGGTGTATCTCTGGTCTGCTGCATAGTATGCCTGCTGCGGAGGCGGCGGCTGCCGAGTGTCATGGGTATAGGCGTATTGGCCTGTAGGGGGAGGAGGAGCAGCATAGCCTCCTGATGGTTGCTGCTGCTGGTACCCTGCCTGCTGCTGCTGCTGCTGCGGTGGCGGTGGCGCCTGCTGCTGGGGAGGAGGAGGGGGAGGAGGAGGAGGGGCAGCGGCGGCAGCAGGAGGAGTGTACTGCTGCTGCGGCGGAGGCGGCGGAGCACCAGCGCCTCCTGCTGCTGTTGGATCGGGGGCTGCGTAGCCAGTAGGAGGAGACTGCAGGGAAACAACACAGCAGCAGCAGCAGCAGCAGCAACAGCAGCAGCAGATGCAGATAGTTAGACACAGCAAGGAGAAAGAGAAGACACAGAAGCAGCAAACGTGGATAAAGAGAGAAGAAAAAGACAAGATCTACACACAATGTAACACCATCATTCCTGCTGCTGCTGCTGCAACAGCAGCAACAGTAGCAGCGACGACTGCAGCAGCAACAAAAGCAGCAGCAACTTCTGCTCCCAGGGCCTCCATTTACCTGTGGTGGTTGCTGCGCGGCGAGGGCCCCTAGGTCTACGAAGCTGCTCATGCAGCAAAGGACAGCAGCAGCAGCAACTGCTGCTGCTGCTGCTGCTCGGGTGTATTGCAGCAGCATTATGAGGGTCTATCTCTGCTGTATTTGAGTGTATAGGCAGGTGCTGCTGCTGTTTCTTTAAGGAAATATATGTTTGCTGCTGCTCCCTGCTGCAACAGCAGCAGCAGCAGCAAACGGGCTCTAGGACACCGTGCTGCTGCGTCCGCTGCAGCGGGAAAACACAGCAGCAACAGTCAATGTATTTTGCTGCTGCAGCTACGGGACTCCACGAACATAGATGGATCTGCTGCTGTTGTTGCTGTTGCTGTTGCTGCTGCTGTTGCCCTGCCGCTGCAACCGGGCCCCGCCGTGTGTGTCTGCTGCTGCTGCTGCTGCTGCTGCTGCAACAGAGACGCAACGGTGTCTGCTGCTGCTGCTGTGTACACTCAACTAAATAATTTAAACAAATAACTGCTGCATGCAGAAGATACAAATAATCCTTTTAACAAAACCTCCTGTTGCTCTATTAAACACTTGACCGGAGTAGCAGCAGCAGCAGCAGCAGCACGAGCTGCTGCTGCTGCTGTTGCTGCTGCTGCTGGCAAGGCTGCCGACCGCAAGAGTTCTATAGAGGGGCGCGTGGTAGAGACTGCAGCAGCTGTGTGTCTGCTGCTGCTTCTTTGTTTAATAATAATTAAATATAATATAAATAAAAGATAATAAATAAAAAGAAATAAATAAAAAGAAATAAATAATAAACATACTTGTTGCTACTCTTCTCTACTAAGCAGGGGCTGCCAACACCGCACTGCGCCTCCTCCTCTCCCCTCAGCTGCAGCAGCCGCAGCAGCAGCAGCAGCCGCAGCAGCCGCAGCAGCAGCAGCAGCAGCCGCTGCGGCAGCTGAATTGTAAAGAGGGGTCATCATCCTTTTCTTCTTGTTTTGTTTCGCCGTCTTGACCATTTAATTTAAAATGGGGGCGTGTAAGTAATCATCTCCTTACCTCACTGTCTGTACACCCCAGGCATAAGCAGCAGCAGCAGCAGCAACAGCAAATGCAGCAGCCCACAGCAGCAGCTGCTGCTGCTGCATCATAAGCGCCCCATATAACATAAATGGAGAGTTTGTGGTTGTTTTTATATTGTTTTAAGCTCTAAACAAATGCTGTATTATAATGCCCTTTCCTCTGCTGAGGTCGCTACGTGCTGCTGCTGCTGCTGCTGCTGCTGCTACGCTTGCCGTGGGGCGCAGCAGATCTATTGTTGTTGTATGAGTTTAGTGATAAAGAATCTTCTTTTCTTTTTCTTCTTCATTTCTTCTTTTGTTCTTTTGTCTCCCCACAACTTTCTCCGTTCTTGCTGTCCTTTATCTGCTGCTGCTCCCTCGTGTTGCATGCATGCATTGATATATGGGGCTGGTGTAGGAGTTTTATCTGTTGCTGCTGCAGCAGAGGGCACCCTATTTTGCTGCATCTGCATGCATGAAGCAGCAGTAAATATCTAGCATGTAGCGGCAGTTAGGCGAATTAGAGATGCTGGGTTGCGGCAGTTGCGTCCTGCTGCTGCTGCTGTTGTACAGAGGAGTGTTGAAGGCGTATAGCTGCTGCTCCTATTGTTGTTTTATTGTTCTTGTTGATTTAATTAGCATTTATTGGGGCTGCTTGCATGCATCGCTGCTGCTAGTACACAATATTCGCACCGCATGCATAATATTATTTCGGGTGTATGTACACCTCATTTTTGCAATAATAGCGTCATTCTTGAATACACCACAAAACACCAATTTTTTGCGTATTTTCTTTATAATGTTAATATATTTCGTTAAATAAACAGATAAATTACATATATTGTTCTTTTTTTGTGTTTTTTTTCCTCAGGCAAACCTCGCGGTATGCGCACAGCGCGCAAGCTGCGCAACAGGCGTCGCGTACAGAAGTGGGCGGATAAGCAATACAAGAAGGCACATCTTGGCACAAGATGGAAGGCAAACCCTTTTGGTGGAAGTTCTCATGCTAAGGGAATTGTTGTAGAAAAGTTGGGTATTGAAGCTAAACAGGTAAATATTATTATATTTATAATAATAATAGCAGCAGCAGCAGCAGCAGCAGCAAGAGCAGCAGCAGGAGGAAATGCAGTATAAGTAGCAACAGAAACGACAAGAAATAGATAGATAGATCGATAGCTTACCTATTCTCTATATAAATATATATAAATATACATACATATATACATATATATGTATATATATATGTATATTTATTTATATATTTATATGTGTATGTGTATACAGCCTAACTCAGCTATTAGGAAGTGTGTAAGGGTCCAATTAATAAAGAATGCAAAGAAGATAACTGCCTTCGTACCTCGTGATGGTTGTCTGAATTATATTGATGAAAATGACGAAGTTCTTGTTGCTGGATTTGGTAGATCAGGGCATGCAGTAGGAGATATACCTGGTGTTAGATTCAAGATTGTTAAAGTTTCTGGTGTATCTCTTCTTGCTCTATTCAAGGAAAAGAAGGAAAAACCCAGGTCCTAAGCTGTTTATTATATATGCATTCATGCATGCATGCATCTAAATACAAATATCTATATGCATATATATGCATCATGATGTATGTATTGATGTATGTATGTATATGCATGCATGCATGCATGCATGCATGTATTTATTAGTCATGCATCCATGCAGACATGCAGCAGCAGCTATACTGGACTGTCTGTGTGTCGCGGCAATACCATGACAGGATAGACATGGTGTTGTTGAGGCAGCTCCTGCTGCAGTTGCTGTTGTAGCTGATGCTGCTGCCGCTGCTGCAGCAGGGAAAGCAGCAACCCCCCAAGTTTAACTGTACAACACTTGGAAGGAAGGGGGGAAGCAAATGAACCACAGGCAAAAACGTCAATTTTGTGTCTTTTTCCTTTTTACTCTTGAAGTCCGCATAGCGTAAACTTGCAAAGAATCCATTAAGAAGAGGTAGTCGTAAATAATCCATTAAGAAGAAGACGCAGATAATAGCAGCAAATAGAGAGAAAAACAACGAACGTAGTACAGCATGTAGTATAATCTTCCTAGTGTAGCGTTATCTACATATAAATGGTAGCCCAGCAGCTGTATATTCGTAGTTTATATATAAATACAAATGGAAGAAACTCAAGAGAAAAATATTTATGCATTTACACCATTTCCTTCTTCTAAGGAATGATTGGATCGTAACCGTCACACACATGTACATCTTGACGGTAGGCAATATCTGCTGGCACTATAGACACGGATTTTGTACTAAATACTGCATTATTTATAAAGGAAAGTAAGGGAAATTAACAATATCCAGTCAATAATAACGAACGATAGAGCTTAAAGCACGTCCGTGTCGTCACTGAGTTATAGTTAAATAGGCGGTGTAACGTGCGGTGTACATACACCTGAAATACAGCGGCATTTCTTTGTCTTCAGTTTCCTCCTCTTCCTCCTCTTCTTTGGTGGGTAGCTGCGTAAATTGTGTGAAGAGGGGAGGACTTACGTAGTTTACCTTGGTTAATAATCGAATACAAACGCCCTCTGTTTATCTGCTTGATTCATAATGGATTTCTCTTATCTTGTTAAGAGGGAAAGAAGAAGTGACGGTGCTGGTAGTAGCGGTGGTGAGGCGGGACGTGAGGAAACTTCGTATAAGGAAGCCATTTCCTCATCTTATTTTCTTCAACAAGAGTTGAAAGAGGATAATAAAACTAAAGATGAAGAGATTGACGAACTTTCCCGGCAAATTCAACAAGAAATAACAGCAGCTCGTAGCTGCATGTGTAGACTTGAACAAGTGGCACAAATGGATCAAAAGTTGACGGAAATAACTCGATTAATAGACGATGTGAATTCTTTTTGTGAATTATCCAAGAAAATAAAAAATATAAGAAAAAGTCCGCTTTCTACTTTTTTTTTCTTTTAAGAGTTGTATATGTTATTCAACATTACATATTCTTTTTTTTTTTCTTTCTTTTTGCAGAAATGGCGCTAATAAAAGAAGAAGACGACCGGCTTAATACGGAATTACTGCAACTACAAGACGAAGCAATTAACTTGCAACAGAAGGGCACCCAAATGCAACTTGAATACGAAGAAGTACAAAGCCAAGTTATACGCGAATTGTGTAGGTAAGCGTCTCAGCAGCAACTGCAGCAACAGCAGCAACAGCTGCAACAGCTGCAACAAAGCAATTCAATTCATAATAATATTGTCTTGTATACAGACGACAGGAGTTACATCTTTCCTTAGAACAAGCAGCAGTAAGAAAGACACACATAACATGCACTTTATTACTTAGCAACATAAATGCCCTTCTTTCTTTCCCTTAGCAGAAACAAACACAGAAAATTCAAACTAGGAAGCAACTTGTTAATACAGCAGGAAATAATCAAGTAAATAAATGCTGCTGCTGCTGCAAGTATTTCCCTATTGTTGTATATATCTATATAATAAACAAAAAAAAGAGCAGCAATAATAACTTGTATCTACTACAGGAAAATTCCTCATCAGGAGATTCTTGTATACGTGCTGCTGCTGCACAGTCTATTCATGTACCAGCAGCAGGTGCAGCAGCTGGGTCAGCAGCTATTCCTACTGCTTCTGCAGTTAACACTGGGGGTACTAGCTCTGCTGCTGCTGCTGCTGCTGCTGCTTCTGCTGGTGCTAATTCAGCAGCAGCTCCCCAACAGCAGCAACGCCGAGAGCTTGTACCAGATAATCAACCGATGCAGCGGCTGCACTTTGGCATGTTGCTTGTAAGAGTTCATGATGAATATTTATTGTATATAATGAATATAGTTCCTCTTTTCTTCATTATTTATTATTATATTTAATTAAAAAAGAATTAATTTATATATATCTAATTAATTAACTCCTTCTTTTGCAGACAGGAGGACAAAAAAACACAAGAAAACGATTCATGACATTCGCAGGGAGTGGACTAACAGCAGAAAAACGCATAAAAAGCCGCGCTGCTCTGTTGGTAAGAAAATATATTTATATTATTATTTATAAATAACTAATATTATCCTCAATATATATTATATACTTACAGCCACAGCAGCAGCAAAAGGATCAGCAGCAGCAGCAGCAGCAGCAGCAGCAGCAGCAAATATAAGAATGCAGGAACTCTACTCTATTAATAACACTGTTCTTTTTTGTCTATTGGACAAACAGTGAAGGGAAAGGGACAATTAGTATAATTAATTCTTATATATAATAAGAATTAATATAATAAATTATCCCTAAACTAATAAGAAATTCATAAAGAAAAAGAAACGACAAAACCTCTATTTATACGTTTATAGTTGCTGCACATGAAAATAAATTAAACAAAGTATATATATATATATATGTATATATACATGTATATACATATATGTATATGTATATATATATGTGTATATATAGATATATATATAAATATATATATGTATATTCAGTTAGTGACCAATGGTCACATATATGCTGGTTGCTGCACATGTAGATCATTAAAACAAAGTATAATAATAATAATATGCGTTAATGATGACCAATGGTCACCATTAGCTGTAAATAGCCATCATTTATTATTTATTACTCTTCTCTCCCGCGGTTACGTCATGCCCACACCCACCGCAACACATATGCATGCATATGCATATGCATATGCATATGCATATGCATGCATGAATACCTACAGCAGCAATGATGAATAATAGCAGCAGTAACGTCTGCTGTTTCATCATTATGCTCTGCTGCTTCAGCATAGCAGCAGAAACAGCTACTGCTGTTGCTGCTGCTGCTGCTGCACCTGCTGCTGCTGCTGCTGCTGCTGCTGCATGTGCATAATAAGTAATCACGATGCGGCCCTCGATGTCCTGTTTGTCAAACTACAAAAAAATCAGGAGATCGAGTCTTGTGTATGTCTGCTGCCAATTGTATACATATATATATATATATATATATATATA